TGGCCCGTGCCCTGCCCTGCCCTGGGGCACGGCCGGGTCCTTTCCCCGCCCGGGGATGCTTTGGGCTGGGAGGGAGCAGGGGTCGCTTCTCCAGGCCCCGGGGGTGGGGGCCCGCACCGATGAAAGGCCGTGGTGTTGGGGCCCGAGCTGCCCACGGCCACGGCACGATGCACGCGGGGCCGTGGGCAGAAGCCGTGGGCCCGTCTGGCCCAGGGCTTGCGTCTCGCCCCCCGTTTCTCTCCGGGGTCGGCGTGTCCCGGAGAGCCGGTGCTCATTTTGTCCCGCTTACGCAAGAGCGAAGGCGACCAGAACGGCGGTTCTCGGCTCTTTCAGACCGCAGGGCCCTCCCTTGGAAAATGCCGGCTTAGTTTTCCCAGGATTTTTGACTGCAGGCAAATAATAGAGCCGTTCTGTTGCAAAGAACCTGGGAAGACGGTGCCACGGCACAATGGTTTTGACGCTACGGGTTCCCATCGGAAATCCCTTGGTTTATCTTGCGAACTGTGCTTGCCCCCCTCCCGGTGCTGACCGTGTGCGGCACCCTCGGGAGGGTCTCGAGGCACCCCCTGTTTGCAATGCGGACCTAGACTAGGCTGGAGAAGCAACAGAGCGACCGAGATGCAGAGGAGGGAGAGAAAGGGCGAGGGGATGAAGCCTGTGGCTGCTCCCGTGTGTCCCAGACAGCAGTGGGAAGATGCTGGCTGCCTGCCTCCTGAGTTATCAATGGGATGAAGTGAACTTGATTGGAGTTTTTATTAACGATGATGATATCTGAAAACATCCAGTTCGGGTCTGGGGGACAGCTGCAGTACAAGTCCCTAATTGCAGCAATACTCCACGAGATGTGGCCGTGTTCTGGGGTGACACGATGCACACGGCGTCAGGAGGTGAGCTCAGCTCTGCTGGTGTAAATCCAGATTAACTCCATTTAGCTGAGACAAGCATCTGGTCGATCCTCTGTGAAAATCCATTACATGTCCGTGCACTTCGTTCAGGGCCTCAAACTGCAAACGCGGGGTCAGTTCTTGCATGTCTGTAAAGTGCCGTGAAGGCTCGTGGCACCGTGGCATTGCACCGTGGGAGAGGATTATTAATAATACCGTGGTGCGCTCGGCCTTCCTGCAGCTTTAGGGACCTCTCGGTCCTGTCGGGGCAACGAAGCTCATCGGGGCCGATCTGGGCTAGAAGAAATCGTGCTTGAATCCCGCGTGTGTGGTTCTGCCTCCGCCGGAGAGCAGTGCCGCCTCCACCAGGCTATTTTGAGTGTAGGAAGTTGTCCTGGAGCACAACCCTGCTTCCTGAGACTGGAATCCGATATTATCGGAGCCAGAGCTCTTGGAGAATCCCTGAAAGCAGGAAGACGAAAGCAGTCATCTCATTAGGGGAAGGCGGCGGGCTGGCAGGTTTTGAAGTGCTCTGCCCATATAACCATAACGAGCCCGAGACAATGGGAGTCTTGTCTGCTCTTATCGTGTTTTACTGTTTGCTTTTTACAACTTACTGCCTTTCCAAGGCTGCACCAGCTCACACCGGCAGTCAGAAGCACTTGGTTCAGGTCTTGCAGGCCGAGTCTGAGAGGTCCCAAAACCTAACGCCGTCAGGTGATTTCTCCTTCCCCAAGCTTAATTTTTGTAAAGTTGCCTTCCTCCTGGGCAGCATTTTGCAGCACACGGAGCGGGAGAGATCGTAGCCCTGCAGACGGGAGCTCTGCGCTGCTCCGATGCTGCGCTCACAGCTACGTTGGCTCGAGGGACAGGCCGCTGCGCACACTCAGCAGCGAGGAATGCGCACGCTGGAGCAGCCTCCATCTGGGCGCCAGCAACGTGAAAAATCACGTCTGGGAATAGGCATAGGCTCCCGCAGCCCCGCTTAGGCCCTTTCCCTGGCATGGCCGGGATCTGCCGAGGCATTTCCACCGTAATTCCTGAGTGCTTACAAAGAGGAGCAACAGCCTGCTCGTTCTGCCTCTCCAGGCAGCAGGAAGAATAGTTGGGCTGGTGTTGGCGGCTGGCTGGTCTGTCCTGGCGAATGCATTGCTGGAGGAAAGCAAAGCCCAAGGGCTTTGCAGATGTCTGGGGGGGAGCCGGGGTGTTCTCACTTCCAGGCCAGCCTGGCTGGAGGGGATTGACTTGGCAGTGGTGACCCTGTCTTCTGCCTTGTCCCTCCGGACCCAACCGAGCCCTTGCAGCAAGAACATATTTCTATAGCGCCAGAGTGCTTTGTGGCCTTCCCTTTGCACTCTGCCGGGGGTTTTGTACCCATCTCAAGAGGGGGAGGGATGTGAACAGGAGGGCTGCTTTAGTGCTGTGCGGAGGGCTGAGGTCTGGCCTCCCGGCTGCAGGAACTCTCCTGTGGCCCGGCTTCCCTTGCACCCGCGCCTGGACAAGTCCCTTTGGTGCTAGTCTGCACCGGTGGGGTCGGGCACTTACTTCATTCAGAAGCCAAAATCCGGGTGAGTGGAGAGGGAGCATCTATTTTATCATCTATTCATCTATTTTACATCCCCACGTTAGAGAAAGTGGGCACTTTGTCTACAGAGGGAATGGGAATGCCGTCTCCTCGGCCAGCGGCGTCCAGACAGCACGTGGTGTTCCTAGCCGAAGTCCTTAAAGCACATGGGGCTTGTCAGCCAGCTCTCAATACCGCCACAAGTTTGACATTATTTGGTGGGTTTCTTACGGTTCCTGCGTCCTACAGCTCTGCGCGTTTCCCAAAACGGGACTTCCTAGCTTTTGTGGCTCCAAAGAAAGCCTTGACAATGTGGTCTCTCAATTCTCAAATGAAACAACAAACCTCCAAACCAGAAGCAGTTGGAAAGAAACCCATATTTCTTGTTGTTTCTTAAAACCTCGTGAGTTTTTCTTGGGTGCGGCTTTTAGATGCTTGGGGTTGGCAGTACTAGGGTATGGGGTCTTCCTGGAGTCTTAACTCTCGGCCCTTTCAAGGGGTTAGAGTGTTTAATGAGAAACCCAAATATTTGCCCCATGTAATTAGCTATTTATGGTTCAAAACAAGGTCTTTTTGATGGTTTAGAGAAGCCAAAGTTGACCTGCAAGCAGTGCCTCCCCTGCAGCTCACTGGAAGACCAAAGGAAAATATATGGAGGATGGATTCAAAGAAGCTGTGGTGAGGAACGGGGGTGGTTTTACAAATGAACAGGAGAAGTGCGGAAGGGGGAGAAAGTCCTGGCGCAGTTGGCTGGGGCTAAGTGGAGTTTGCACCTGCCGGGAACTGGACGGGCTGCTGATATCGCTGCCTTGGGCTGGACCAGAGCAGGGGCTGGGGGCGGGAACGGCCTCCCGTGTGCTGCCAAACCCCAGCTGCTGGCAGACGCGTCCTGTCCCCGGGTGTCCCTCCCATCTGCGGCTGTGACGGTGGCTGTGTTTTGTGAGATGCAGTTAATGCCGGGACTGGCACGTTCCCCGGCTCCAGCCGAGTTAAGTGACAGCGAAGCCAATAAACTCAGCAGTTGCTGGGACAAGCTTTGGCATATAAAAAAAATGAGTTTCAGCCTTCTTCACGAATCTGGTGGGACCTCATTTTAAAAGCCTCCCCTGGCCTGTCGGAAATCTCACGTCACGGCTGGAGCACGGGGCCTGGCATGTGAAGGTGGCCAGGCCGGGTGCGTTGGGTATCAGATGAAGTTTCGTAGACTCGTAGAGTCATGGACATTTGGGCTGGAAGGGACCTCGCGAGATCATGGAGTCCAGCCCCCGGCCAGGGGCAGGAAGTCAGCTGGAGTCACGTGGCCCCAGCACCATATGCATCCAAACGCCTTTTGAATGAGTCTGGAGTAGGTCCTTGCACCCCCTCTGTTCCAGCCCCTGGACACTTGGACTGTCAAGAAATTTTTCCTTATGTCCAGTCTGCATCGGTCTTCCAGAAGCTTGTGGCCATTCGACCTTGTCATCCCTTGGGGAGCCCTGGTGAGCAGGCGTTCTCCCCGATCCTGGTGCACCCCCTTATGTACTTGTAGGCTGCCACCAAGTCCCCTGAGCCTGTGCTTCTCCAGGCTGAAGAGTCCCGTGTCCCTCAGCCTCTCCTCGTAAGGCTTCCCTCTTGGGGGGGGCCCAAAACTGGATGCAGTAGTCCAGCTGGGGGCTCACTAAGGCCGAGTAGAGCGGGAGGATGACCTCCCTGGTTTTGCTTGAGATGCATCGGTGGATGCATACCAGAGTTTTGTTCGCTTTGCCAGCCATGGCATCGCATTGGTGGCTCATGTTCATCTTGTGGTCGATCAAGACCCCCAAGTCTCTTTCGGGCGTGGTGGTAGCGAGCGTAGCACTGCCGAGCCTGTAAGTGTGATGCTGGTTCTTCCTCCCAAGGTGGAGCGCCCTGCACTTCTCTGCGTTGAAGGCCATCAGGTTTTGGTCTGCCCACCTTGCGAGTGTGTCCAGGTTGGCCTGTCCTCCAGCATGACCGCCTTCCCCCGTAGTTTAGTGTCACCCGTGAACTTTGCCAGTCTGCATCTGACGCCCAAATCCAGATCCTTAGTGAAGATGCTGAAGAGTACCGGCCCGAGCACTGAGCCCCGAGGGACACCACTGATCACCTTGCGCCACGTTGGTTCGCTCCCATCAACTAATGCTCTTTGGGTCCGAGCCCAGAGCCAGTTCCCCGGCCGTCGGACCGGGAGATGGTCGAGGCCGCAGCTCCCCAGCTTAACCATGAGGACATCGTGGGAGACCAAATCAAGGGCTTTCTTGAAGTCCAGATATATGACATCAACCTCGGCTCCCTTGTCCAGGCAACGCGTCACCTGGTCGTAGTCGGAGACGAGGCTGGGCAGGCAGGGGCTTTCCGCAACCAACTGGTACGCCTGAAGATCGGCGGCTTCCCAAAGACACGACCGAGGCTTCTGGTGAATACAAAGCAGATTTAGCAAACCAGACCTATGAAGGGAATTGAATTTTGAACAGCGCTGCAGTTCACACGCTGCCAAGCAGAGACACCAGGCTGGACTTTTGCTCTGATCCCCACATGCTCTGGCCTGACGGACAAATCCTGCCATAATGGCCACGGACGGAAGCTGCAGTTGGAGTTTCATCACCCACCATTTAAATGAACTTAATCTGCTCATTTATTTCTCCAGCACAGCTGCGAGACTCCTCTCCTAGCTGTTGCTGCCTCCGAGTGATAAATATTTTGTAGCTGTTGAGCCAAGGAAGGAAAATATAAGCTGACTGTGAGCAGCAAACCCAGCCTCCGGAGAGGGACAAGGCCTGTCTGGATTGGACTGGGGCTCTGGGCCGGGTGGGGTGACAGGGCCCAGGATGGGGAGAAGAGGTCTGGTGCTCTTGCACTTTCTAGTACAAGGAGTTGCTTGTTCTTGGTCGTGCTCTGTGCTGTGCAAGCATGCCTCCACGGGCTTTCCCTGCCTCCGAGCACCCATCCTTGGGAAAGCATGCAGTGGACAGGTGGATGGGGTCAGGCTGGCGACGAGGCCGTGGCAGCGTTGCAGTATCCCAGGATGGCGATGACGCAGCATAGCACCATTTCACAGACAGTTTTGATCCATCGTAGAGCACTTGAATGTAGGCAGGGGTTGTGGGTGCTTCTGTTGTCTCCATTTGCAGCATGTGCTTGTGTGCCAGGAGCGGCAAAGCTGTGCCCGCTTGCTCGGAGAGGTTCTTCCAGGGAATCCTTCTCCCCACAAGAGCTGCCCTTTAGGGTTAGGAGCCTTCGCTCAATTCCTGGTGTCCTTAAGACCTTCACATCTGCCCATGCTCAGATAGTGCCAGTGCCACTGTCTCTGTCCCTGTAGTGACTTAGGATCATCTGGGGACAGGTCGCCGTTGTAGCCACGCTACAGACACAGGGTACAGACAG